TGCTGGACCCGGGAGCGGCTTTGTGCCCGGGCTGGTCCACCGAAGGATGAAGATGGAACGGGTGGACTCTCTTCAAGGTTGATCTTCTGTGCCGCTTGGGACCACAGCCCACGTCACGTGGGGATGGGACACGGCTGCATCAGCGCCGTCTTTGGGACTGGCCGTGGGGCCGTCTTCTCGGGTGGTTTGCCCGGGAGCGGCTTTGTGCCCGGGCTGGTCCCCGCTGCCTGAACCGGCTCCCACGGCCTCGTCGGGACCGGCTGCGGGAAGTGGAAGCGCGACGCCCCACTGGGGATCGGCTTCGAGTGGGGGCCCGCCCTCGTTGCCTGGACTGTCTTCTGCGTGCAGGCGGAGGGGAAGGCCTCGAGGACCTCGGTGGTGCTGGTGTGGCCGAGGTGCAGGTGCCGCCCTGACTACCTCGGGCTGTGGTACGGCTCCCACCACGCTGTCTTCGGGGCCGACTCTGGGAGCCCGAGGCCCGGCCTCGCAATGGGGAGCGGCTTCTTGTGCGGCCGGTCTCCCGCTGCCTGAGACGATTTGTGGCCTCAGATGCCTGGGTTGTTCTGGAGGACCGTGTGGTCCTCTGTCTTCTGGGGCTCTCAGAGGAGGTCTCAGCGCCCGCAGCTGGTGCCCGTCTTCCTGCACCGCGTCCTTGGTGCTGCTGAGATGCATCCCGCTCCTCAGAGAGGTGTGAGCGGGTGGCGGTCTGCTCAGCCTCCGGCACTCTGGGCTGGACGCTGAGCTCAGGCAGCTGGGAGTTGCAGGATGGGCCGGGAGCTGCCTGCGTAGCAGGGCCAGAGCTGATGTTTTCAGGTCCTGCAGAGACGGGGGAAGGCGCCGGTACCTCCTGGCTGGAAGTGCTGGGGCTGGCAAGCTCGGCGCTGGAGCGGGGGGCTGTAAGGAGAGACAGGAAGCTCAGCAGGGTGAACATGCAGCCCCAGGGCAGGACAGGCTGCCATCCCTCATGGGGCAGAGAGAGACTGTGGCAAGGCCACCCTGAGCACCTGTTGCCAGGCCTCGCCTGGCCCCAGTCCCGCGGCACGCGGCTCTTTGCCTCTTACCGGTGCTCCTGCCAGCGCAGGTGTCGCACTCCCAGCCATTTGTGCCCATGGCCCAGAAGGAGCAGCACCAGTGCGTGCCTTCTGAGCCGCAGGAGCTGCAGATGACCAGCTGCCAGAGCCTGCGGAAGCAAACGGGTTGTGGCTGTGAGGACAAAGCAAGCCAGGGCACGGAGCAGCCGGCATGGCTCCGGTGCTCAGTCCTTGCTGCAAGGCTGAGATCCCACACAGAGCCCCAGAGGACAGCGGAGGTCACTCACCCTTGCTCGTGTGCCCTCTCCCTGCCTCCTAGGTGGATGCACGGGTTGGCGTCGCAGCGCCTGTGCCTTTCTCGCAGCGGCTGGTATGCTGCGTCGTCCCACCAAGATGGTCGTCTGCCGGAGAAGAGAGGGAATCTGGTGAGTCTCGGGTGCCCCAGGCACAAGGCAGATTCAGGGCATCCCTGCTCATCCTCATTCGCTGCCTCTCCAGGAAGCTGAGACCAGTGCTCGCAGGATGGCCTGCCAGGGCCAGGGGCAGTTCCTGGGCAGGCACAGCAACACCTGTGCCTGAGTGTCTGCGAAGCCGGGCAGAAGGACACCAACCTGATTGGGATTTGGATGCCCAGGGTGGTCATCTGGGAGCGGAATCTTGTTTTTCCTCCGCAGACAGGGCAGAAGAAGCGCATGGTGGCGGCGTGCAGGGCATGTTTCTGTAGAAGCACAAGCGTGAGCGTGAGCGTGAGCGTGAGCGTGAGCGGGGGGGGCTGGCTGCCGCAGAGCACCAGCCGTGCCCACGGGGCGAGGGGAGGACTCCTACCCTGATGCAGCCCCGGTGGAACCAGGCCTGCTTGCACACCGGGCACACCATGGTGTGGTAGGACGTGCAGTCCCCCACGGGCTCCAGGCAGATGACGCAGATGGTGTTCTGCGACGGAGCTGCCTCCGCTGCCTGCCGAGGGCGATGCTCCCAGCAGAAGGACCTGGGCGGGAGGACAGAAGGGGTGGGCATGGTGAGGAGTGCTGTGAGGAGGGCAGAGGACCAGGAAAGAGCGCCAGGCCTGGGCTCTGGCTCTGGCAGGATGCTGGAGGTGTCGCTGCGGGTTCCTCCCTGGAACAACAGTGAGGGACGGCAGCTTGGCTGCTGCTGGCAGCCCTTACCTGTGCGGCCCAAAGTGCTGCGTGACGCACTGCCCGTCCTCGGCGCAGGGCAGGTGGAAGCTGCGCTGGCAGCCTGTCTCCGCGCAGCTGATGGCAGCTCCCCTCCCGCCACAGACAAAGCAGTTCTGGAAAGAGCAGAGCAGCCCCCGTTAGCGGTGGGCTCGGGGCCTCGGCGGCCGGCCCCACTTCTCCAGGCAGGGCGCAGGGTGTGGGCACCGCTGCCTCACACTCTGCAGAGCTGCCTGGCAGACGAGGCTCGTCTGCTGTGGTGGGACTTTGTCCCGGAGCCGGTTGGAAGGGCCGCAATGGCTTTCTTTGGGTCCAGGCGAAGCCGGTGCGAGCCTCTTCCCCTACCAAGCTCCCCGTTCCGTTCAGCTCCTCACCTTCTGGCCTGCCAGCTGGAGCGTGTGCTGGATGGCGCTAACGGGGAAGCCAAAAATTTCCCCCGCTGGGCATCTCCACTGCAGAAGCCCGTTGGCAAAGACCTGCAGGAGAGAAAGGAGCGGGATCTCGTGAGGCCGGAAAGGAAGGGAGCATCCCTGGCAGGAGCCCTGGCCCGTGAGGGAACTCACCAAGCAGAATTCGTGGGCACAGAGCCCACCGCTGGCAAATGTCTGCCCGCAGATGTCCGGGTTCACCTGTGCGCGGCCGCACAGCACGCACACTGCAGAGGAAGGAGAGAGCAGCCGTGAGCACCTGGCAGGGCCGGGTGTTCCTGGGGGCCGTCCGTCCCCAGGGCCTGCTCCGAGCCTGCCGTGCTGCTGCCTGAGGGGCAGAGCTGGAGGGGGTGGAGGGGAAGGGGGCATCGCGGGCCCAGCAGCTGCAGCGGGCAGCCGCAGCCCGAGCCGGGGCTCTCACCTGGCTCCCCGGAGTCGGGGGCCTCCTCCTTCTTCTCCGCCATGTTCGGCATCACAAGAATCACAAGAATCACAAGGTTGGAAACAACCTATAAGATCCTCCACAGTGAGAAACAAGAGAGTCGAGGAAGTCCGTCCTCTCTCCACGCCTCACCAGGCTGAAGTGAGCAGGGCCCCGGCCGGCAGCCTTTGCTCTGCTCCCGGCCCCGCGGGTCACAATGGCCACCACTGTGACATCACGGTCACCACCTCACCACCAGGCTGAGGGCGCGGCAGGGCGGCGGCTCCTGTGGGCAGCGCAGGGTGAGGGGCCCGGTGCTGCCAGCAGCAGGGGGCAAGGACGGCCTCCCTCAGGCCTTCTGCACCGCGCCCGTGCTGGGACGTCGCAGCACAGAGCCTAATAAAGGGCTGCGGGTCAACTGCACAGCCGGCATTTCTCGCGTGCGTGTGTGCTGTGTGCTGGCCGACTCTGCACGGCCTGCTGGTGACGGGACAAGGTGTTGACCTGAGAAAAGAGGAGGTCTGGTGACCTGCGAGAGGGAATTCCTCACTCGGAGGGCGGTGAGGCCCTGGCGCAGCTGCGCAGAGAAGCTGTGGGTGCAGGCGCTCCAGGCCTTGTTGCACAGGGCCCTCTTCTAAGCTGGCCTGCTGGGTGGCAGAGGTCCCACGGCAGGCACCTGGGGCTGGGTGGGCTGTACGATCCTTTCGTGTCCAAGCCTTCACACATCAAAGCTTCAGGCCTCATACAGTTCCCAGAAGCAAAGTGGCACGGGCCGGGCACAGTTCCCTTCCAGCCTGCGTATGAAATGAGTCAGGAAATCTTCTGAAGTGTGCTTGCTTTGGCCTGCTGGCAATGGTCACCGTGCCAGAGACAGGAGAGGAGCTGTGCCTTGCCCAGGGCTGCAGTCCTGGAGTCCCACTGGAGCATCCCTGCTCCTGCAGCCTGACCATGCAAGTCAGCTTCTGCATGAAAGTCAGGCCAACGCTGATGGGAGAGCCGCCACGCCTAGATGGTGGAGATGTGGATCTCCGCCCTCTGTGGAGATGCTCAAGGTCTCACTGCTGGATAGGGCTCCAGGCAGCCCGATCTAGTGGGTGGCAACCAACACACTGCAGGAGTCTGGAACTTGATAGACTTTAGTGTCCCTTCCAACCCAAGCCATCCCAGGATCCTGCGATTCAAAACGCCTGTCAGATCCAGCATTACTAAGGCAGCTACCCAGCCAGTCTTGACACCCCCCACAAGGCTACCACGGTAGCAGACAGGCATGATCCTTCTGTAGTAAATCCAAGTTTACTACTCCGGATAACCCTTCTTTTTCCCCATCTGCTTTGAGACGATATCCAGAGCGAGTTGCTCCAACACTTTCCCAGCGATGGATGTGAGCCTGATTGGCCTATCGTTTCCTGAGTCCTCCCTCCTGACCTTTTTGAAGATTGGAATGACATTGGCTATCCTCCAGCCTTCAGGCATCTCTCCTATTCTCCACGAGGCTTCACAGATCGCAGAATCACACAGAATTGCAGAATCACAGGGTTGGGAGGGACCTCAAGGATCATGAATCTCCAATCCCCCTGCCACATGCAGAGCCAACAAGCTCCACATTTAACACTAGACCACGCTGCCCAGGGCCCCATCCAATCTGGCCTTGAACGCCTCCAGGGACGGGGCATCCACGGCCTCTCTGGGCAGCCTGTTCCAGTACCTCACCGCTCTCTCTGTAAAGAATTTCCCCCTGACATCCAACTTAAAACCATTTCCCCTTGTCCTGCAGTTATCGACCCTTTCCAAGAGTTGATTCCCCTTCTCTTTGTAGGCTCCCCTTAGGTACTGAAAGGCTGCAACGAGGTCACCCCGCAGCCTTCTTGTCTCCAGGCTGAACAAGCCCAGCTCCCTCAGCCTGTCTTCACAGTGGACGTGCTCCAGTCCCCTGACCATCTTCGTGGCCCTCCTCTGGACCCTGTCCAACAGCTCCCTGTCTTTCTTGTACTGGGGGCATGTAAGATATTATTCTGTTAACGTCTGTGTCTCAAAGCTTGCTGGGGACACAGATGGACTTGTTCAAGTCCCGGCAAGTCCTGGGCAAAGGTTGTGAGATCCTTTGCCTGGGGGACGCAGATGGACAAGGCCAGGGGCAAGGAGAGCGAGATGAGCTGCAGCTAAATAGCTGTGAAGTGCTCCTTTGTGTGGACTTATCTCAGGATGATGGCCATCTCAGGGGGTACTCAATGACTCTTGCTCAAGGCCCATCCTTGTCACCCAGGCAGGAGAACAAGGAGGATAAAAGAGGAACTGAAAACCATGAGGATAGGTTTCTGGCAGCAGATTCCTCATGAAGCAGAACAGAGGTTTCTGGCAGCAGATTCCTCATGAAGCAGAAGAGAGGCTTCTGGCAGCAGATTCCTCATGAAGCAGAACAGAGGTTTCTGGCAGCACATTCCTCATGTGGAAGAGGGATTCCTGACAATCAGATTCCTCGTGAGGTGACTCCTTCATGCTGTTGAACTCTCCTGTGCCTGCTGCCGGAGCGCTGCTGCTGCTTCAAGGACTGGCTCTGCGACTTCCCCGTCTACCTGCTTGCTGCCCAAGGCCGGCCACGCTGCTGCTTCTCGCCCCCCGCTTCCCCCCGCTGGATCCTGCTGGTGACCATCCCTGCCTTACGCAACTATTGCTTCTTTCCCATCTTTTCTATCGCCCTCTTTTCCTTCCCCGTCTCCCTGATTAGGTTTTGTAATAAACCGGTCGGAACAACACATGAACCGTTGTTTCTTAATCGCACGCCGGGTGTACAGATATTAAAAGAACCTCATCTCCCTCCCATAAATTGGAGCGAGACTGGGCTCCACACTTGGACGCAGTATTCCGGATGGGGCCTCCCAAGCGCAGAGCAGAGGGGGACAATCACCTCCCTGTCCCTGCTGGCCACCCCTCTTCTGATGGAGCCCAGGATACCGTTTGCCTTCCAAGCCGCAAGGGTACATTGCTGCTCATGCTAAGTTTTTCATCTATCAAGACCCCCAGGTCCTTCTCCACAGGGCTGCTCTCAAGGACCTCTCCTTCCCATCTCTATGGATGCCTGGGATTCCTCCGGCCCAAGTGCCGAACTATGCACTTTGAGATAGACAGCTGGGCTGTAAATGCACACACTGCTGGTTCATGTCCAGCTTCTTGTCTACCAGGACCCTCAAGTTCTTCTCCGCAGGGCTGCTCTCAAGAAGATCCTGCCCCGGTCTATAGAAATAGCTGGGATTTCCCCGGCCCAAGTGCAACACCTTGCATGTGGCCTTGTTGAACCTCATGAGGTTCACGGGGGCTCACTTCTCCAGCCCGTCCAGCCTCCTCTGGGTGGCTTCCCTTCCCTCCAGCGGATTGATGGCACTGCTCAGCTTGGTGTTGTCTGCAAACATGCTGAGGGTGCACTTGATGCCGTCGTCTGTGTCACTGATAAATTGGGGAAGAGCACCGGTTGCAAGAACGAGCCCTGGGGGACCACCACCACTTGTGACTGGCTCCCACCCAGACACAGAACCGTCGATCACAGCCCCGGGGCTGCGACCGGCCAACCAGCTCTTAATCCATTGAACAGTCCACCTTTCAAAACCGTACCTCTCCAATTTAGAGAGAAGGACGTGGCGAGGGACCATGTCAAAGGCTTCGCAGAAGTCTAGGAGGGTGACATCCATCACCCTTCCCCCACACACCGATTGCAGTCACTCCATCACAGAAGGCCACCAGACTGGTCAGGCACGATCTGCCCTTGGTGAAGCCAAGATGCTGGCTGTCTCGGATCACCTCTTTGTCTCCTATGTGCCTTAACGTGGTAACCAGGAGGATCTGCTCCGTGATCTTCCCAGGCACAGAGGTGAGGCTCACCGGCCTGGAGTTCCCCGGGTCATCCTTTCTCCCTTTCTTAAAAATGGGAGTAACGTTTCCTTACTTGCTCCACTCTAGCGAGCTTCATTGCATCCCCTTCCCCCTTCCTACTTACTTTCAAGCCCTCTCAATGAGCCCCGCTAGCTCTGGGGCTGGGATCCGTTTCCCTCTTAGAGATAAGTGACACAGGCCTGCAGCCATTACACCGCGTGCGGAGTAAATAGCCCCACGGTCAAAAAGCCCAAAGTTCCTGAGAGGCACCAGCCTCTCACCCATTACCTGGGTTTTCCCAGCCCACTCCGCGTCCCTCACCGGCCCAGGAAGGATAGAAGCAAATATCAGTTGTGCTCCCACTCCCTCAACCAACCACCCTAAAGCCCTGAAGTCTTTTTTGATAGTTTGCAGGCTGCTCTGAGCTCCTTCATCACTGCCTGCCTGAACCATCCGTAACGGGTAGTAATCAGAGGGATGAACCAGATCCGGGTTCTAGTTTTTCTAGCTGTGTCCTTGACCTGGGCCCCAGGGAGGCAGCCCACCTCCGTGTGAGTCGGGTCCGGTCTGCATACGGGGCCCTCAGTTCCCGTGAGGAGGGAATCACCTGCAGCAACAACCCTTCGGCCTGTCTTAGCAGAGGCAGCCTGCAGACGCAGAGTCGGCCGCCTCGCCCTTGGCACTGTCTTAGGCAAAGCTTCCCGTGCCTCCTCGCTCATCTCCCCTTCAATCCACAGTGCCTCTCATCTGTCACTTAGGGGCACCTGGGCAAGTAACGTTGCCAAGGAAGAGGTTCGCCCACGATGCCGAGCTGGGGCTGTCTTCCAGTTCTGTTCTCTCCATCTCTCAGAACCCCCGTTTCTGCCCGACGGTGACAGGAGGTGGGGTCCCTCACTTTCTGGGGGCTGTTTCCCTGGCGCCTTCTTCTCTGACACGCCTGGGAGTTACTCCACAGTCAATCTCTTGCTCTCACTCCCTGATGCTCCGTAACCTCTCCACCTCCTCCTTGAGCTCTGCCACCATGCTGAGCAGATCTTCCACCTGCTCACACAGTTCCTGCCTCCCTCGCCAGGCAGCAGCAGGCTCAGGCACTGCATGCAGCCGGAGACCTGAACAGCCACATTCTTGGGCAGGGCCTCCATCTGGGTCAGGATGGAGTCTTTGTGGGGCAAGCTCGTTGCCTGGAGGAAGGACCCCATGGTAAATCTGTGGCCTTGGAGACTGCCAGTAGGTAAACTGGTCTCCAAAGTGAGGAGGGACGGTACTTCTGTGCTGTCCTGCACAAGCTCCCACACGTGCCGCTGCAGTGTGCTGTGGGTGCTGCGCACAAGCTGCCTGTGGGCCTGTGGGCCCGCTGTCCCCCTTCAGGGACACAGGTAGATCTGAAGATAACGCCACTACAACCAACTGGGAAGGTGCTGGGGAGAAGACGACCCCGTGGTCTCAGCTCCTAACACTGCCTACCACAGGACAAACAGAGACGAGTGACGCCAACATGTGGGGAGGGTGTTGAAGGTGTATTTTTTGGGAAAGATGGAATCACAACCGTCACGTGGGGATGGACACGGCTGCTGGAAGCCGACTTTGGGACTGGTTGTGGGGATGTCTTCTGCGATGCTGGACCCGGGAGCGGCTTTGTGCCCGGGCTGGTCCACCGCAGGATGAAGGTGGAACGGGTGGACTCTCTTCAAGGTTGATCTTCTGTGCCGCTTGGGACCACAGCCCACGTCACGTGGGGATGGGACACGGCTGCATCAGCGCCGTCTTTGGGACTGGCCGTGGGGCCGTCTTCTCGGGTGGTTTGCCCGGGAGCGGCTTTGTGCCCGGGCTGGTCCCCGCTGCCTGAACCGGCTCCCACGGCCTCGTCGGGACCGGCTGCGGGAAGTGGAAGCGCGACGCCCCACTGGGGATCGGCTTCGAGTGGGGGCCCGCCCTCGTTGCCTGGACTGTCTTCTGCGTGCAGGCGGAGGGGAAGGCCTCGAGGACCTCGGTGGTGCTGGTGTGGCCGAGGTGCCGGTGCCGCCCTGACTACCTTGGGCTGTGGTACGGCTCCCACCACGCTGTCTTCGGGGCCGACTCTGGGAGCCCGAGGCCCGGCCTCGCAATGGGGAGCGGCTTCTTGTGCGGCCGGTCTCCCGCTGCCTGAGACGATTTCTGGCTGCATCTGCCAGGGAGGTTCTGGAGGACCGTGTGGTCCTCTGTCTTCTGGGGCTCTCAGAGGAGGTCTCAGCGCCTGCAGCTGGTGCCCGTCTTCCTGCACCGCGTCCTTGGTGCTGCTGAGATGCGTCCCGCTCCTCAGAGAGGTGTGAGCGGGTGGCGGTCTGCTCAGCCTCCGGCACTCTGGGCTGGACGCTGAGCTCAGGCAGCTGGGAGTTGCAGGATGGGCCGGGAGCTGCCTGCGTAGCAGGGCCAGAGCTGATGTTTTCAGGTCCTGCAGAGACGGGGGAAGGCGCCGGTACCTCCTGGCTGGAAGTGCTGGGGCTGGCAAGCTCGGTGCTGGAGCGGGGGGCTGTAAGGAGAGACAGGAAGCTCAGCAGGGTGAACATGCAGCCCCAGGGCAGGACAGGCTGCCATCCCTCATGGGGCAGAGAGAGACTGTGGCAAGGCCACCCTGAGCACCTGTTGCCAGGCCTCGCCTGGCCCCAGTCCCGCGGCACGCGGCTCTTTGCCTCTTACCGGTGCTCCTGCCAGCGCAGGTGTCGCACTCCCAGCCATTTGTGCCCATGGCCCAGAAGGAGCAGCACCAGTGCGTGCCTTCTGAGCCGCAGGAGCTGCAGATGACCAGCTGCCAGAGCCTGCGGAAGCAAACGGGTTGTGGCTGTGAGGACAAAGCGAGCCAGGGCACGGAGCAGCCGGCATGGCTCCGGTGCTCAGTCCTTGCTGCAAGGCTGAGATCCCACGCAGAGCCCCAGAGGACTGCGGAGGTCACTCACCCTTGCTCGTGTGCCCTCTCCCTGCCTCCTAGGTGGATGCACGGGTTGGCGTCGCAGCGCCTGTGCCTTTCTCGCAGCGGCTGGTATGCTGCGTCGTCCCACCAAGATGGTCGTCTGCCGGAGAAGAGAGGGAATCTGGTGAGTCTCGGGTGCCCCAGGCACAAGGCAGATTCAGGGCATCCCTGCTCATCCTCATTCGCTGCCTCTCCAGGAAGCTGAGACCAGTGCTCGCAGGATGGCCTGCCAGGGCCAGGGGCAGTTCCTGGGCAGGCACAGCAACACCTGTGCCTGAGTGTCTGCGAAGCCGGGCAGAAGGACACCAACCTGATTGGGATTTGGATGCCCAGGGTGGTCATCTGGGAGCGGAATCTTGTTTTTCCTCCGCAGACAGGGCAGAAGAAGCGCATGGTGGCGGCGTGCAGGGCATGTTTCTGTAGGAGAAGCACAAGCATGAGAGCGTGAGTGTGAGCGGGGGGGGCTGGCTGCCGCAGAGCACCAGCCGTGCCCACGGGGCGAGGGGAGGACTCCTACCCTGATGCAGCCCCGGTGGAACCAGGCCTGCTTGCACACCGGGCACACCATGGTGTGGTAGGACGTGCAGTCCCCCACGGGCTCCAGGCAGATGACGCAGATGGTGTTCTGCGACGGAGCTGCCTCCGCTGCCTGCCGAGGGCGATGCTCCCAGCAGAAGGACCTGGGCGGGAGGACAGAAGGGGTGGGCATGGTGAGGAGTGCTGTGAGGAGGGCAGAGGACCAGGAAAGAGCGCCAGGCCTGGGCTCTGGCTCTGGCAGGATGCTGGAGGTGTCGCTGCGGGTTCCTCCCTGGAACAACAGCGAGGGACGGCAGCTTGGCTGCTGCTGGCAGCCCTTACCTGTGCAGCCCAAAGTGCTGCGTGACGCACTGCCCGTCCTCGGCGCAGGGCAGGTGGAAGCTGCGCTCGCAGCCTGCTTCCGCGCAGCTGATGGCAGCTCCCCTCCCGCCACAGACAAAGCAGTTCTGGAAAGAGCAGAGCAGCCCCCGTTAGCGGTGGGCTCGGGGCCTCGGCGGCCGGCCCCACTTCTCCGGGCAGGGCGCAGGGTGTGGGCACCGCTGCCTCACACTCTGCAGAGCTGCCTGGCAGACGAGGCTCGTCTGCTGTGGTGGGACTTTGTCCCGGAGCCGGTTGGAAGGGCCGCAATGGCTTTCTTTGGGTCCAGGCGAAGCCGGTGCGAGCCTCTTCCCCTACCAAGCTCCCCGTTCCGTTCAGCTCCTCACCTTCTGGCCTGCCAGCTGGAGCGTGTGCTGGATGGCGCTAACGGGGAAGCCAAAAATTTGCCCCGATGGGCATCTCCACTGCAGAAGCCCGTTGGCAAAGACCTGCAGGAGAGAAAGGAGCGGGATCTCGTGAGGCCGGAAAGGAAGGGAGCATCCCTGGCAGGAGCCCTGGCCCGTGAGGGAACTCACCAAGCAGAATTCGTGGGCACAGAGCCCACCGCTGGCAAATGTCTGCCCGCAGATGTCCGGGTTCACCTGTGCGCGGCCGCACAGCACGCACACTGCAGAGGAAGGAGAGAGCAGCCGTGAGCACCTGGCAGGGCCGGGTGTTCCTGGGGGCCGTCCGTCCCCAGGGCCTGCTCCGAGCCTGCCGTGCTGCTGCCTGAGGGGCAGAGCTGGAGGGGGTGGAGGGGAAGGGGGCATCGCGGGCCCAGCAGCTGCAGCGGGCAGCCGCAGCCCGAGCCGGGGCTCTCACCTGGCTCCCCGGAGTCAGGGGCCTCCTCCTTCTTCTCCGCCATGTTCGGCATCACAAGAATCACAAGAATCACAAGGTTGGAAACAACCTATAAGATCCTCCACAGTGAGAAACAAGAGAGTCGAGGAAGTCCGTCCTCTCTCCACGCCTCACCAGGCTGAAGTGAGCAGGGCCCCGGCCGGCAGCCTTTGCTCTGCTCCCGGCCCCGCGGGTCACAATGGCCACCACTGTGACATCACGGTCACCACCTCACCACCAGGCTGAGGGCGCGGCAGGGCGGCGGCTCCTGTGGGCAGCGCAGGGTGAGGGGCCCGGTGCTGCCAGCAGCAGGGGGCAAGGACGGCCTCCCTCAGGCCTTCTGCACCGCGCCCGTGCTGGGACGTCGCAGCACAGAGCCTAATAAAGGGCTGCGGGTCAACTGCACAGCCGGCATTTCTCGCGTGCGTGTGTGCTGTGTGCTGGCCGACTCTGCACGGCCTGCTGGTGACGGGACAAGGTGTTGACCTGAGAAAAGAGGAGGTCTGGTGACCTGCGAGAGGGAATTCCTCACTCGGAGGGCGGTGAGGCCCTGGCGCAGCTGCGCAGAGAAGCTGTGGGTGCAGGCGCTCCAGGCCTTGTTGCACAGGGCCCTCTTCTAAGCTGGCCTGCTGGGTGGCAGAGGTCCCACGGCAGGCACCTGGGGCTGGGTGGGCTGTACGATCCTTTCGTGTCCAAGCCTTCACACATCAAAGCTTCAGGCCTCATACAGTTCCCAGAGGCAAAGTGGCACGGGCCGGGCACAGTTCCCTTCCAGCCTGCGTATGAAATGAGTCAGGAAATCTTCTGAAGTGTGCTTGCTTTGGCCTGCTGGCAATGGTCACCGTGCCAGAGACAGGAGAGGAGCTGTGCCTTGCCCAGGGCTGCAGTCCTGGAGTCCCACTGGAGCATCCCTGCTCCTGCAGCCTGACCATGCAAGTCAGCTTCTGCATGAAAGTCAGGCCAACGCTGATGGGAGAGCCGCCACGCCTAGATGGTGGAGATGTGGATCTCCGCCCTCTGTGGAGATGCTCAAGGTCTCACTGCTGGATAGGGCTCCAGGCAGCCCGATCTAGTGGGTGGCAACCAACACACTGCAGGAGTCTGGAACTTGATAGACTTTAGTGTCCCTTCCAACCCAAGCCATCCCAGGATCCTGCGATTCAAAACGCCTGTCAGATCCAGCATTACTAAGGCAGCTACCCAGCCAGTCTTGACACCCCCCACAAGGCTACCACGGTAGCAGACAGGCATGATCCTTCTGTAGTAAATCCAAGTTTACTACTCCGGATAACCCTTCTTTTTCCCCATCTGCTTTGAGACGATATCCAGAGCGAGTTGCTCCAACACTTTCCCAGCGATGGATGTGAGCCTGATTGGCCTATCGTTTCCTGAGTCCTCCCTCCTGACCTTTTTGAAGATTGGAATGACATTGGCTATCCTCCAGCCTTCAGGCATCTCTCCTATTCTCCACGAGGCTTCACAGATCGCAGAATCACACAGAATTGCAGAATCACAGGGTTGGGAGGGACCTCAAGGATCATGAATCTCCAATCCCCCTGCCACATGCAGAGCCAACAAGCTCCACATTTAACACTAGACCATGCTGCCCAGGGCCCCATCCAATCTGGCCTTGAACGCCTCCAGGGACGGGGCATCCACGGCCTCTCTGGGCAGCCTGTTCCAGTACCTCACCGCTCTCTCTGTAAAGAATTTCCCCCTGACATCCAACTTAAAACCATTTCCCCTTGTCCTGCAGTTATCGACCCTTTCCAAGAGTTGATTCCCCTTCTCTTTGTAGGCTCGCTTTAGGTACTGAAAGGCTGCAACGAGGTCACCCCGCAGCCTTCTTGTCTCCAGGCTGAACAAGCCCAGCTCCCTCAGCCTGTCTTCACAGTGGACGTGCTCCAGTCCCCTGACCATCTTCGTGGCCCTCCTCTGGACCCTGTCCAACAGCTCCCTGTCTTTCTTGTACTGGGGGCATGTAAGATATTATTCTGTTAACGTCTGTGTCTCAAAGCTTGCTGGGGACACAGATGGACTTGTTCAAGTCCCGGCAAGTCCTGGGCAAAGGTTGTGAGATCCTTTGCCTGGGGGACGCAGATGGACAAGGCCAGGGGCAAGGAGAGCGAGATGAGCTGCAGCTAAATAGCTGTGAAGTGCTCCTTTGTGTGGACTTATCTCAGGATGATGGCCATCTCAGGGGGTACTCAATGACTCTTGCTCAAGGCCCATCCTTGTCACCCAGGCAGGAGAACAAGGAGGATAAAAGAGGAACTGAAAACCATGAGGATAGGTTTCTGGCAGCAGATTCCTCATGAAGCAGAACAGAGGTTTCTGGAAACAGATTCCTCATGAAGCAGAAGAGAGGCTTCTGGCAGCAGATTCCTCATGAAGCAGAACAGAGGTTTCTGGCAGCACATTCCTCATGAGGAAGAGGGATTCCTGACGATCAGATTCCTCGTGAGGTGACTCCTTCATGCTGTTGAACTCTCCTGTGCCTGCTGCCGGAGCGCTGCTGCTGCTTCAAGGACTGGCTCTGCGACTTCCCCGTCTACCTGCTTGCTGCCCAAGGCCGGCCACGCTGCTGCTTCTCGCCCCCCGCTCCCCCCCGCTGGATCCTGCTGGTGACCATCCCTGCCTTACGCAACTCTTGCTTCTTTCCCATCTTTTCTATCGCCCTCTTTCCCTTCCCCGTCTCCCTGATTAGGTTTTGTAATAAACCGGTCGGAACAACACATGAACCGTTGTTTCTTAATCGCACGCCGGGTGTACAGATATTAAAAGAACCTCATCTCCCTCCCATAAATTGGAGCGAGACTGGGCTCCACACTTGGACGCAGTATTCCGGATGGGGCCTCCCAGGGGCAGAGCAGAGGGGGACAATCACCTCCCTGTCCCTGCTGGCCACCCCTCTTCTGATGGAGCCCAGGATACCGTTTGCCTTCCAAGCCGCAAGGGTACATTGCTGCTCATGCTAAGTTTTTCATCTATCAAGACCCCCAGGTCCTTCTCCACAGGGCTGCTCTCAAGGACCTCTCCTTCCCATCTCTATGGATGCCTGGGATTCCTCCGGCCCAAGTGCCGAACTATGCACTTTGAGATAGACAGCTGGGCTGTAAATGCACACACTGCTGGTTCATGTCCAGCTTCTTGTCTACCAGGACCCTCAAGTTCTTCTCCGCAGGGCTGCTCTCAAGAAGATCCTGCCCCGGTCTATAGAAATAGCTGGGATTTCCCCGGCCCAAGTGCAACACCTTGCATGTGGCCTTGTTGAACCTCATGAGGTTCACGGGGGCTCACTTCTCCAGCCCGTCCAGCCTCCTCTGGGTGGCTTCCCTTCCCTCCAGCGGATTGATGGCACTGCTCAGCTTGGTGTTGTCTGCAAACATGCTGAGGGTGCACTTGATGCCGTCGTCTGTGTCACTGATAAATTGGGGAAGAGCACCGGTTGCAAGAACGAGCCCTGGGGGACCACCACCACTTGTGACCGGCTCCCACCCAGACACAGAACCGTCGATCACAGCCCCGGGGCTGCGACCGGCCAACCAGCTCTTAATCCATTGAACAGTCCACCTTTCAAAACCGTACCTCTCCAATTTAGAGAGAAGGACGTGGCGAGGGACCATGTCAAAGGCTTCGCAGAAGTCTAGGAGGGTGACATCCATCACCCCTCCCCCACACACCGATTGCAGTCACTCCATCACAGAAGGCCACCAGACTGGTCAGGCACGATCTGCCCTTGGTGAAGCCAAGATGCTGGCTGTCTCGGATCACCTCTTTGTCTCCTATGTGCCTTAACGTGGTAACCAGGAGGATCTGCTCCGTGATCTTCCCAGGCACAGAGGTGAGGCTCACCGGCCTGGAGTTCCCCGGGTCATCCTTTCTCCCTTTCTTAAAAATGGGAGTAACGTTTCCTTACTTGCTCCACTCTAGCGAGCTTCATTGCATCCCCTTCCCCCTTCCTACCTACTTTCAAGCCCTCTCAATGAGCCCCGCTAGCTCTGGGGCTGGGATCCGTTTCCCTCTTAGAGATAAGTGACACAGGCCTGCAGCCATTACACCGCGTGCGGAGTAAATAGCCCCACGGTCAAAAAGCCCAAAGTTCCTGAGAGGCACCAGCCTCTCACCCATTACCTGGGTTTTCCCAGCCCACTCCGCGTCCCTCACCGGCCCAGGAAGGATAGAAGCAAATATCAGTTGTGCTCCCACTCCCTCAACCAACCACCCTAAAGCCCTGAAGTCTTTTTTGATAGTTTGCAGGCTGCTCTGAGCTCCTTCATCACTGCCTGCCTGAACCATCCGTAACAGGTAGTAATCAGAGGGATGAACCAGATCCGGGTTCTAGTTTTTCTAGCTGTGTCCTTGACCTGGGCCCCAGGGAGGCAGCCCACCTCCGTGTGAGTCGGGTCCGGTCTGCATACGGGGCCCTCAGTTCCCGTGAGGAGGGAATCACCTACAGCAACAACCCTTCGGCCTGTCTTAGCAGAGGCAGCCTGCAGACGCAGAGTCGGCCGCCTCGCCCTTGGCACTGTCTTAGGCAAAGCTTCCCGTGCCTCCTCGCTCGCCTCCCCTTCAATCCACAGTGCCTCTCATCTGTCACTTAGGGGCACCTGGGCAAGTAACGTTGCCAAGGAAGAGGTTCGCCCACGATGCCGAGCTGGGGCTGTCTTCCAGTTCTGTTCTCTCCATCTCTCAGAACCCCCGTTTCTGCCCGACGGTGACAGGAGGTGGGGTCCCTCACTTTCTGGGGGCTGCCTCCCTGGCGCCTTCCTCTCTGGCACGCCTGGGAGTTACTCCACGGTCAATCTCTTGCTCTCACTCCCTGATGCTCCGTAACCTCTCCACCTCCTCCTTGAGCTCTGCCACCATGCTGAGCAGATCTTCCACCTGCTCACACAGTTCCTGCCTCCCTTGCCAGGCCTGCCAGGGCCATCCCAGGATCCTGCGATCCAAAACACCTATCACCTCTGCACTGGTGAGCACCAGGTCCGGTAGGGCTTCACCTTGGATTGGTTTGCTTGAAATTTTTTTGCCACCCGCACTTTGAAGATATACAGGAGTGTTAGTGAGTGGAGAATCCTTCAACCTTATGTAACCTCTTGTACATGTCCCACAGTGATAGATCCCTCTGTTATTTGTTTGTCAGTGTTTCATATGGGCTCCAGCATAAGGGCTGAATGATTGTGGCAATGCACATTACTTCCTAAGAGTTACCTTACGTACTGTAACTCTGTACTTGGTAAGTCAGCTGCATAGATCCTAAGATAGGAACCTATGGTGGAAGTAGAGAAAAAATGTTGAAGGGGAAAAGTACTAGACCAGAAAGAATCTCAGAAGTGGCCGAAAAAATGCGTCAACCATGATGGAGATTTTTTGAAGTAAGTGAATTACAACATCTGCTCCAGCATTCTTTAGATAGTCGACATTATTTGTGAATGGATACATTGAAACTATTTATTTTAATTAAAAATAATACGCTTCCAGTGGGAAAAAATCTTACAGCATCAGCAAAATAAGGAAAAAATACAGGGAGGAGGGAGTATGCCAAGCCATGGTTTAATATACAGTATAGCCTAGGGCTTGATTACATTCATGGAAGACTGAAAGTAAGATAATGTAGTGTGCGTAATAGCTATTCTAAGTTTTTGTTCAATAGTGGGTTTGGAATAAAAAATAATCATAGAATCATAGAACATCCCAAGTTGGAAAAGGCCCATAAGGATCATCAAGTCCAACATATGGAAATACAGTAAGACTTTGGAGGCAATGTATCTAAGTGTTTGGATGACTGAATGCACTGAATTCTTTTTTTTAAATTTGGGCCCCGCTGCACCTCAAGTATACAGAAATAATCACTTCTGTTATTATCAACTTTATCTTTGCTTATGCCAGGTGCTTCTGTACCCCTCAGAAGCTCAGGCCATTGCCACTGACCTCCTTGCAAGGACCAGGTTTTCAGATCAGATCCATGGGCGGAAGCTCTCGTCAGTTCTTCACAACATCTCTTAAATGTGTTATTTCTTTGATGGATACTGAGGGGATGGTTCTCATTTGGGCTGGTTCCTGGCCTCAGGACAACAGGCGTTTATACGCAAGCTATCTATGGAGGAAGTGATTTCAACCCATGTCTGTGTAGTTAAATCATCTTCTATGTTTATTTCAATGGAGTATTGGTGCAGCTAGTAGAATAGAGAGAAAGAAAACCTCCTCTGGTCTTCAACTCACACAGAAGCCTTCAGTGCTTTTAGGGCTTTTGTTCATCTTCTATTGAGGAATATCCCAGCCATGCGATCAGACCTGGCAGAGCTCAATAATGATTTCGCACTCAAGGGAAGGAGTGTTTGGCATTGCGACTCAAGAAAATTCCCAGACCAGGAATCTCTATGATTGGAGGTGGATATGGAGCGAGTGACATTTTCTACTCTGATGGAAAACCCTAGGACTAAGTTTATAAAACAATTGCTGTTGAATACTGCAACAGTATTCTAGAAGTTTGTGGCTCATAATTGAAGCCCAGTGCTAGATAATTCCTGTCTTTTCTCCTTCTGCAGAATCACCTTACTGCAGTTGAGCTATGCTACCTTTACTGGTTCTTCTGGCTTAACTCCAGGCTCCAGCCCTATACCTTTTCTTTCATTAGTGATTGAGTGGAATATAGCACGCTGCACAGCAGGCTACTCACATGGCCTGTAGTCCTCACTTTCACTGAGCCCATACTCATATGAGCAGGGACCTCTTCTGCTCCCGGGTAAGCCAACTCATACCTCACAGGAGTCTGCAAGACATCTCTTCCTTCCTCCCCATTAATTACTTGGAAGGAGACAGTGCTAGAACTAACAGCTTGAGGTAATTCACCTAATTCATATCTGGCCTGCACCATCATGACTGTGAGTCCTGGGAGATCTGTGTTTGAAATCAGAAGTTGCTAAGCCTTCTATAAATGGCAAAGTTTGTGTGAAAGGCAGCAGTGGTACTGGATGGTGTAGAGTAGCTCTGGGATCATGACATCAAGACTCCTAAAAACTGCAGGGAAAAATCCAGTCTGCAGGCTCACTGAACTAAATGAAAGCATCCTTGGAGACCAAGCCCGCAAGAAGCATGTTGTGCACGGCAGGAGGTATAGGAATGTGCAACAGCCTCACGGAGAGGTATTTTCAAACTGTGAGTGATTACAGGTGAGGATGCTCAGTGGCAGTAAGAAAGCGTTCCAGTTAATAATCTCCAGTAGTCATCATCTCCCCACTTTTTCTCAGTGTCGAAGTCAAATCATAGTGAGATGCTGCCTGTCTTACCAAGCATTCTGAATTCAGGAGATGGCCGAATTCAGCTTAGGAGAAAGGATCCTGAGAAACCACTTTGTCCACTCTGTAGTGATATCCCTTCTCTTCATTTTACAATTGTGAACCACATAGCAACTACTTTACTCACATTTTTAAGTTTTTCTCCACCACTGAGCAGTAGAAACTCAGGAAAAAAAAAAATTCCTTGAGCTTCATTCATGTTCTTTCATTCAATGTAGCCCCAAGCAAAAAGCTGAATGGGACACAGGATGAGCAAGATAAATGCAACCATAGAAAAAATAAAATTAAATACAGCAGAGGAA